GGAGGGACAGCGCAGGAGGGGAAGACCCTCTATGAGATGGATTGATTCGGTGACTGGGGTAATAGGGATGGGTATGTCAGAGGCAGTGCGGTTGGCACAGGATAGAGCAGGGATTAGGGCTGTTGTGTCGCTATGAGTCGCAAATGACTCAACGGCACATAACAACAACAACACTGGCCCTAGTCTCCAGATCATCAACTCTGACATCTACTGTCTCTAGAATTCCAGCAAGCCTGGGGTGAAGAGTTCACCATATTCTTTTCCACTCTGTTTTACAGGATTTTTGAAGTGAAACATCAGCACAGGAAGGTGGAAAACCAGATCAAAATGGCCAAAATGGTTCTAATGAATGAGCTGAACAAACAGGCCAATGGACTCATAGAGGAGTTGGAGGTATATATGACAAAGGGATAAGATGGATGGGTTCTTTGTTTGTGGTGGGCCAGAAACAAGGCACCTGCCAAACTAACCCCTAGACCCAGAGCAGCCTGATCATAATTCATATGTGCAGTGCCTTAGCTTTCTACTCCCTCATGTATTTTAAAATGCCCAATCTGATGTTAGGAGAGTTGTTTGTTTGGGACAATTGATTGAAAATTCAATTTAAATGCCAATTTAAATTCCTTCCTGGGCCATGCAGGGTCATAATCCTGGAAAAGAGAACCATGAAACAGCTCATCTTCTTCAGCAAGTTATGCCCACGATATACTAACAAGCATTTCCTTTTTCTTGTCACCATTTTCATGTTTTCAATATCTTCCCAAACTTGCCCATGGTATCAGTCTGAGACCTACTGTTCCCATTTAGGGGTACAGGGTTATCTGATTCAGTGTTCACACAACAGGACACAAGACTGTCCCAACAGCTGAACTGTAATGCAAGAACAAGGTCAAGGACTTTATATTCTTTTTACCTAGGGCATTACAAATGAGAGGAAGCGGAAGCTGGAACAGCAGCTACAGAGCATCATGGTTCTCAATCGTCAGTTTGAACATGTGCAGAATTTCATCAACTGGGCTGTCTGCAGCAAAACCAGCATCCCTTTCCTTTTCAGCAAAGAGCTGGTAAGAGCAATCTCAAAATGCTTAGCTTGTACTTGTAATTGATCAGAGCATCATCTCTGTCCTAGGGTCAGTGAAGTTGCCCCTGGAGGTATCTTTCTTTAGAATGTATGGATAGGAGCCCAGTCCCTCCTTCAAGTTCCATCACTGCCCTGGGGTTACTTAGTGAGTGACGATTACATCTTTTTTACCAAAGGATCCAAGTGCTAAAATGGCCCTTCTTCCTTTACAGGTAACCCACCTGGGAAAGTCTGAAGTTATGTCTCAGTTCATGGATTCAGACACTAATCTTGTACTGTGCTGTGCTGTATCCAATAGAAAGTTGTTGAGAGCTGAATGTTACTGGATGCTGGCGGTAGTGGGAGGGACTAAGAAAAAAATGAAAAATTAGGGTTATGTTGCAATATTGGCTTGAGTAGATGATGATGTCCAGAGGAAGGAGCAAGATCGATGGAATTTATTGATGAATTCACCAGCTGTTCCATGGGAGAAGGATAGGCAGTTTCCTCTCATATGATTTGCTGCTTCTGCAAATTTACTAAAGGGTCAGCTATGGGTCAGTTCCAACTCGACAGTACACAATAACAGCAACACCATGTTAAATCTAAAGTGCCTTAAGTCATTTGATGGGTGTTGTCTAAAAGCTATATATATGGGCTTGGAAGTCAGGAGAAAGGTTAGAATTAGAGAAGCAGGTTTTGGTGTCACCGGGATACTGGTGATATATCACCTTAAATCAGTTCCAGAAGAACAATTCTGGAACCCAGATAAATAACATAATTTTCAGCATAGATAACAGAAGAAGATGAGTGAAAAACAGGAGTCAGAGGTGAAGATGAGTAGTGAAGAGAAGGCTTGAGATCTGTAAATCAGGAAATCTCTGGTAATTTTGTTTTGAAAGATATTCAAGTAAAGTAGAAGAGTCGAAAGACAGAAGACAGAAGTAAAAAGATAAGAAAGGGGAAAGTAGCTTGAGAAGAAGTTAGAGTTGGAGGAAACTTCTGTCAGTCTGGAAATAACTTGCACACATGTATACCAAGGGAGAGATTGAAGATAGAGAGATGTGTAATGGAATTAGCCTCCTGAAAAGAATGAAGTTGGATCTGAAGTGAATGGGATCATCTTAAATTCAAGAGACACTCCCTTCATCTGAGGCTAGGAGACAGCACAGTGTCATATTATGTAGATAAGTTTGAAGATAGAAGGGATATAAATAAGTGGGAATTCACATTTTTTGTGAACTCTGTGAAGGAGGAGGTAAGAATGGAAAAGTTAAGCACTTTTAAAAAAGTTAAGCATTAGGTAAGTGCATTTAGGAGACAAGCACAGATTTTAAATAGTCATTCATAACAGTGAAGAGAACTCTGGTGACCTAGTCTGCAGGGAGTTGTGCTCCTAACCCAAAGGCCATGCCTCTCTAGTGGTAATTTCTTTCCTGTGATTCACAGCCTCAGAAATCTAATGGAGGATCAACTTTGAGTCAGTTCTAACATGACCATAATGTGTTGAGTGGAATGACATTGAAGGAACAAGAAAAACGACTGAGGGGTCCCCCTGAAGTAGCCTCTGCAAACATGGTTTTGGGATGAATGAGCTGATTTAGCTTTAAGAAATAATGAGGTAGAGGCATGAAGGCACTAATGATACTGTTATTGACAATGATGGGAAACTGGGATGGTGCTAACAGAGTACTGGTGCAGGGCTTGGAGAGTTGAAGGACATGCTGTGGAAGAGTAAAAGCTAGTATGATCAGGGAGTTTAAAGTCTTTTAAATAGAGATCTGTTCTAGATGATGATAGGTATCTGGGTAAGGTTGACCGAACTGAAAATATAGGTGAAGGTAACTAACCTTGAAGAGATTAAAGAAGTAGATGTGCATTAGTTACCTAAATACCAACCATGAAGGGGGAAGGGAACTTGTAGTAGGATGGAAGGATGTGAGCAGCAATGGAAGCTGAGAGAATGTCTGCCCATTTATGAGGTTTAAAACTCCATTTATGAGAGGACGAATAGAGCACTCTTATGAAGGCTACTCACTACAATATCATTAAAGAAAGTGAACACTCAAAGATGATATCAAAAGAATAATAGAAATCAGAAGGACAGGGAGGTAGTGAGAAAAGTGTGATACATTGTAGATATTGAAATGAATGTTATACAGTGGATGAGTGGAAATCCAAGGTCTTTATAAACTTAAAATAAAATCTCAATAAAAAAAGAAAGAAATTAATGTTATAAACAAAATGCATATGAATGGTTTAATGAAAAACTAGTTTGCTTTAAAAACATTCATTAAAAGCACAATTTTTAAGAAAGGAGTAAATAGACATAAGGATATAAAATTTCCAGAAGCTTTGATGGGGTAAGCTAAGGGAGGCTGCAGGATTAGGTGGTGAAAGGGAGATGGTAAGGAGGCATTAAGGTGCAAGGATGAGCATATAGGGAAAGAGCAGAGGTTCAAAGGCCATGACTGAGTTCTTCCACCTCTCCAAAGGATGAGGGAGAGGGAGTTGTCATTCAGACACAGGATGCCCTGAGAAATGACCTTGGTACTTTTGTCAGATTGTGTTTCAGATGCAGCGATTGCTGGAAACAAGTTGTAACACAGACCCTGGTTCTCCTTGGAGTATCAGATTCACCTGGGAGCCTAACTTCTGGACCAAGCAGCTGGCTTCCCTTGGTGAGCTGAAACCCACTGTGTGGGCTTGTACAGAATTGCTAAGAAAGGTTATAGAACATCTGTTAGTTTATAGAATAGGCCAACATATATGCCCAAGAGAAAGCCCTCATTGACACTCCCAAAGATCCACCAAGCCTTTTTTTTCCTCTTTCTCCCTGTGGGAGGTGAGTGGTTGAGATCAAAAGCAATATAAGACTGTAACGGGACTTGTTGAAATCTGTGTTTCCCATTCCACTTAAATATCCCTTTTCTGTTTGATTTCTGAGAGATAGTGACCCCACCTTATCAGGCTGCAGGACAGTGCAGACAAAACTATCTCTGTGGTCATACTAAAGTATACCTGTACGGCACAGTTAGGGGCATTTCAGCAAATATGAGGTGTGTGCATGCACGTGCATGTTAGATACATTAATTGGAATTGCTGTTTACTGTCAAGTCAGAACTGACCCATAGCTGACCCTCTGGTGAGTTTTCAAAGGCATTTAATCTCATGGGAGGAGATTGCCCATCCTTCTCCAATGGAGCACCTGGTGGCTTCAAGCTACATGCCTTCAGGATTGCAGTATAGCTTCTTACCACTTGGCCACCAGAGTTTCATATATCAACTGAAATTGAATATTGTTGTTGTTGTTGTTGTTATGTGCTGTCGAGTTGTTTGCGACTCATAGCGACCCTATGCACAACAGCCCTAAACCCTGCTCTATCCTGCACCAACTGCACCGCCTCTGACACACCCATTCCCGATTACCCCAGTCACCGAATCAATCCATCTCATAGAGGGTCTTCCCCTCCTGCGCTGTCCCTCCACCCTCCCACGCATGATGTCCCTCTCCAAGGACCCGT